AGATAGAAAGAGAGAAATTGTAGAAGTTCAGAACGGCAAGTCCAGAATTAATTTCTCTCGCAGCAGTTTGCCTGCAATTATATATAGATGATGTATTGCATATGCATACACGTATCTTCCTTCCTCGACAAGTTTGTTTTTTCCACCGTTAATGCCCTTAAATGCCGATACACGCTGAATTTTATATTTGATCCGTGACAGATTTGCAATAAATACAGCTACAAGGAAAGAGAGCCAATAATGTGTAAACATATTTTTTGCTGTCGTAACAGGATCTTCACGGATGTTGCGTTCACGTGATGATGTAAATTGAGGTGCAGGAAAACGCGTATCATGCTTAGTAATAGATGCTCGTTACCAACCAACCGTCTAAACACGTTTTGTAAGTACTGACAGAAAGAACTAGATTCCGGTTTTCAAGGTCGGCAACGAAGCGAATTGCTTCTTAATCGACACAAACATTAGGATTCATTTCTTCTTGTGCTCTTATATTAAATGTTAAAGCGAATATAATTTGGTCGAATTGAGTCTCGAATCATACGTAAATAATGCACAGGAAAATAACAAAATCTTGTTCCTGCAATTTCAATTCCAATAGGCTTGTATTTTTACTCGAATGTAGATTTTTGACTTTTCAATCTTCTGAACTCAGAATTTCACGTGATAAAAGTGAGCATGAGCCTTACACGTAATCTCTGGCATATGCCAGAGCGAGCGAGTTAAAATAAAAGACGGGATTAGAGAAAAAAAATGGGCTGCAAGGAGCAGAGATTTCTCTTGGCAAGATGATTCTGACGAGAAACCGCTGCCGACCTTGCGCTAGTTCAGTCGTAAGAGATATAGGAGCGCAGGATCCGTCGAATTGTACACGTTGCTTCCTGTTATCTAATCTAAGCTCTTAAGCTCCAACAGTTACGAATGACGATCGGCTTGCCCGGAAAAACCGTATGCAAATACGTATACGAATTTCACATGTATCTCTCAGTTTCGAGATGTAACGTGCAATATGTCGATGCTACGTTTGCACAAGAACAGAAAAAGATTAGTGTCATTGATACGGAAACAATGCACGTACAAACTAAATTACATTTTGGACGTATAAATTAAATAAATGCAAAAGCTCGACGGACACAGGCGTTTAATCCATGTTAAGTGACAAGTATCCTTTTAACGAGTTAACGAAGCGTTAGCGGGTCAGTCGCCCCGAGATAATTGAAGCAGCTCGAATGTAAGAATCAAACGCGTTTGATCGTGACGCGCACTTAAGGGAGCCGCGATGAAACAGTTGTAATTGTTATCGCGGCTTCATTTTCGTCCGCACGAGCGGGCATGCAGACGCGACCCTGGACCACTTTGTGGTCCATAAATCTAGGAAGAGCTCTCGGTGGGCGCTCCGCGAATCAACGACTGTCCATGTATACAAAACGGCCGCAGTCTCAATCTAATCTACCAGGTTGAGTCGTTAGCCTTGTCGACGAGTTGTTTGAATATCGGGTCAAGGTTACCCAGACATTAATGGGCAAACGTTCGGCACTACGCTGATTCTTGATGGCACGATAAGGATGACACTTCGTTCGAACGAGCGTCGCGCCGTGTCGGCCCTTCAGTGTCAGCTGCAGCTGCAATTGAAGGTAGCGGCCACTCGAGACTAAGCTCGCGGATTTGCTTGTCGTACGTATGTAGGAACTGCAAATGTTGAATTGCAGATGCGAAACTATTTTGCATTGTAGCATCGTGTACCGCGAATAACATGACCGACAGGACAATACGTTTTAAATATTCTAAAGCACATGTGCGCGCATATGTACAATTTCTCGTTAATCATTTAAATGGTTTCGTACAAAGCACCATTTAGCAAAGAACGTAATTTTAATAGCGTCGTGCGACAAACGAGGGGAATAATTACAATCGCGGTTATTAGGCAATAACATTGTCCATACGCACGCGATTGGTTTATCCGGTTTCAGAATCTCTCACACACACACACTCTCTCTCTTTCTCTCTCTGTCTCTCTATGCAACAAACGCAACCGAAATAAATCGGCCTGTGCAATTAGCGATGCACTCATTATGCGGATATAATTTTACAACGAGAATTACAATTGCACGTGTAAACAATGTGATAAAATTAAAAGCGATTTGATCTCCTCCGCGTTTGATTTTTTTCCACAAATTTCACAAATTTAGAGATTACAATTAATCGTAATTATTACATCGGCAGACTCGGTTAATTAATTTTAATTTCCTGGGCCCTTTAGATCACAGCACCGGCTAAAACATGAATCGAACAAGAAAACTTAATTAACCGGTCTGCATTCTCCGCTGTCGAAGCGTCCCCGCAAAGCAATTTATCTTGCCCTTTATGTTAGACATAAGTTCTATATCGATCGTATAAATTGTGCTAGAAATAATGATAGATTTGCTACCCATAGTTTTGCTAATTTTCCATAAAATCGAAGTCTCTTTCCAGATAGATATTTCTCAAAGTTCCCCAACGAAAGATACAATATAGATAATTGCTCTTGTTTGCTTCAACATAATCTTATTGAAAAACAGTTAACCAGGGCAATTTCTCAAATAATTCCATTGCTGGCGGCCGTAATTAGGGTTGATTGTCACTGCGAGTGCAACGCAGGTGACCCGATTAATTTCCAAATAGCCGGCGGTCCATAATTACGGGGCGGGGGGTATCCATAGAACCACCCTCTTGTATATCCGGCACAGATGCGGGATACATACTTCCCTCTGTATCCAGCCGACATCGCGTGGCTCCGATCTTGGCGGACCTTAAATACCTTTTATAATGTTATACGAGATTAATTAAACTGACATTAATTAATCTTCCCTTTCTTGCACAGCGACACGATAATCCACGAAGGGACAAGCTAATTTAACATAACTTAATTCAAATAATCGATCTCGGTGCCGAAAGGTCGATGAAGCAACGTCGAGCGTTGATTGTGAGAAATGCACGTAAACATCTTCATCAATCTCCGTTACTCCTCACGAAATTATGATATTGTTTATCATCGTTACGGAAGACTTTCCCCATAATTTTTATTGTATGTCTTAATTGTACATTCGACGAAGTATTCGCCGACATATCGCCGTGCTATACGTAGTGGTGTGACATTTTGATGTTATTTTTTGGCATTTTTGCGTTTTGTTTTTCCAGATTTTGCGTTATTTTGATGTTATTTTTTAGGCACCTTTTGCGTTTTGTTTTTTCCGGATTTTCCATTATTTTGATAATGTTTTTGACAATGCCGTGGCCAGAGGTGGGCAGGGCTTCAATAAGACGACTTAGGCCCGGTTTCACCAACGTCGCTTAGTTTAATTCGTTCTGTGTCTCTTTCGAACTGTTACTTTAGAAAGAGGCAAAGAACTCTCTAAAATTTGTGGAGTGAAAATACTGCCATGGAGCGAAATGTTTACTCCGTTGGAATTAATATTCACTCTGTTGGAGGAAATATTCACGCCAATAGGGTGAACATTTCACTCCATGGCAGTATTTTCACTCCACAAATTTTAGAGAGAACGAATTAAGCTAAGCTTAAAGCTAAACAACGTTGGTGAAACCGGGCCTTAATGTTTTGTTAGATCAATTTACGACATATATTAAGGCTAAACATATGTTAAAAAATGTAACATAAAACATAACATATTGAAATTGCATGGAACAACCCAGATAACATGCATGTCTAAAAGACATCTTTAAGATGTCTTTAACATGTCTTTTAGACATCTTTTAGACATACACGTCTAAAAGATATCTTAAAGACGTTTTAAAGAAGTCTTGAAGATGTCTTTTAGACAAGCATGCGTTATCTGGGAAATTACTGAAATTACATATATTATTTGCAGGCTATAAAAGTAGTAACATGTCTTTAAAAAAGTAAACAAAAACTAGTCTTAGGCATAAATCTCTTTGGTTTAGGATACAATGTTGACGTTAGAAATGTTTACTAAGAAAAGTTGCGATTTTTATTTTGCGTTATTTTGCGTGTTGAGGGTCACTTTGCGTTATTTTGCGTTTTAAAAACGTGTTAAAACGAAGTTGGAGACTCCAAAAGATAAAGAAATGACATTAAAAACATTCCTGGGGGGCATGTTGCGATATTTTGCGTATAAAGATAACATAAGAATGCCGCACCTCTAACTATACCAATTACAAGAGTGACGTCTTTTTACTTATCGCTTTGAAAATAGATGAAAACATTCTTACACATCAAAACAGGAAAACCGAAGGCGTTCTATATGATAAACTTACTTGTATGTAAGAACTTTATATACGTCCGTGTATCTATTACATAAATTATTAATCTGTGCGATTATGTAAGTGGAAGCCGGCTCGAGCGGAGTAGAAGACGATGCGTGCGTTGTATACTTTAATTTCATTGTTTCCAAAACGTGCAAGAGCTTCCAATGTTTGAACTCTTATTAGTATTCAGTAATCACAAAGTTTGACCGATAAATCGCGACGTTATCTAATACAGCCACGCTGATACGCATGTAACTCTTCTTCAACATATCTTGTTGTCGTCAGACCTTGGCGAATAAATAATTGTTACATAATCCAACGAAGTGAAAGAAATGCCGTAGATGTATTTAAACAAAGAGAAAGTCGGAAATCTGAAAACCGCAATTTAAAAATATTAAATTGTAAGAACGCGAGGATGAAATATTATACTGTCTCCTTGCATCGAATTAAAGTTCCTTAAAATAATGTCAATAACAGCTCGATATCGTCTTTTCTCACGCGTCTTGGAAACAATGAAGTTACATCAAGGTATTTGCTATTTTTACGCGCGCATCGTGCCCCACTTGATGCGCTTCCGTTCGAACCGGTTTCCACTTATTATCTCTATTGAGAAAAGAGAGTCCCCGGACATTTTCCCGCAGAGGTCAGCGAGCCAAGGCTCCCATGGCGGACCGTGGACACGGGCGGTCGTCGTCGAAAAAGGGGCCTAATCAAAGTGAGCGGCCTATAAGAGCGAGCCTCAACAGATGTCTGGTTCAGTATAGTTGGCGTAAGGCGAGCTGGACACGTTATTTATCCGCGCGTGTATTAGCCGGATATCGCGATATTCGTACTCGTTTGTGTGTACATTTGCTCGTCGATCTTGTGTGCTGCTAAGTCAAAATTATCAGTTCCCTGTATTATCAGTTCTTAGAACAGAACGGTTATTAGGAAGATATCCGCGGTGTTGAACGATTACATCCCTAAGTGCATGAGATAAAGACGGTCGAAGTCGATTTAAAGACTGTGAAGTGCTCGTTAAAGCCGAGGAAGCCGAGGAGCGTCGAAATAAAGGTCGCTGGTGCCTCCTACGTCTATATCAGGATTGTCGTAGATTCGCGCTCGATCGAATTTGACCACATTATTGGGACTTGCACACGTTGCAAATTCAACAAAATCAAAGTTTCATCCCTCGTCAGGCGGTGCAAACAACTGCTCGCGGAACAGCAATGCTATGTAAGATGTAAACCTTGAATGTAAATTGGATATTCGCTAAGATACTCGCACGCGAAATTGAAAGGCAAATCAAGATTTGCCTCTTCGTGTGTCCAAGTTATTTAGCCTAACTGTATGTCTAGTATCACACACACAGACACACACGCACACACACAAGCGTATAGATCTGATGACAGTTGCTGAAGGTGACGTCGTTTCCAACTTGATCGATTATTCAAAAGGCTATAATACCTCCGGAAATACACAAACCAAGGCTATTAGCTTGTAGTTGAAAGTCAGAGAGCAGGTATCGCTTTAACTAAGTGACTATACAATCGATAGCAAAGACTTTCGCAGTACCGTGACCGACGGTATCGCGTCGCTTAATTCGACTTAGTCATCGTGACGGGAGGAATCAATTGTCGCTTATCCCTCCTTCGTGTCATTCGCGTTTCTTCGCCAAGTTCGCTCGTTACACGCGATACGATAAACGGAGCCGAGATTGCCGGGTGAGAATTGCGCCTCCATCCGGATGTTCCCGGAGTAGCGAGAGGCTGACAGACGGGAGGAGGCCAAGTTTCTGCGAAAGTGCTTTACGCCGTGAATTACGATCCGCAGACGGGAGTGCAATGTTCGCCGGGGAGATGAATGAGACGACCCGCGCGTGAAGTCGCGGCTCCACGTGACTTTCATTCCCGGCCGAGAGACCGGGAGAGGAAGGAAGTTGAACTAGATCGTAAGTTTTCTCTTCTTTTTTTTTTATATCTTCTCCGATACTCATTCATTTTGCAGTATTGCGCTCAGTTCTGGAACACATCCCGTTTCATACGGTGCTCCATGGAAGATATTTACGCAATCACGTAGAACGAATGGAGTATTCGATGAAGAAATCATTGGTTTTCGTGTTCTTGACTTTCTTAAAATCATTTTACGATATACACAGAATGCGATATAAATAAAATCTTGTTTCATTAAAAGTATAACATATTTGCGAAAATGTAAAATTACGATGTGCTTGAGCGTACAACGAATTATTTCAAGAGACATTTATTATTCTTACGAATAATGTTTAGCCTCAAAAGAGGCTAAACAAATGTGAAATTTGGATGAATATTTATTACCTATATGTTTAAAGAATTGTAAACATGTAATCGGTTCAAGCGTCGACTTATCGAACATTTTCAAAATGTAGATATCACAAATAAGCAGATAATATTAGGATATATCGTAATTCTTTAATGTACATATCTATATGAGTGTGAGAGTAAAACTTATCAAACGAAGAGTCTATCTTTCTGATCATAATATCGTTATGACGTAAATATCATGTGTAATTTAGCTAACGAATCCTTTGAAAGTTGACAACAAGATTTCGAGGTCTTGTTTATGTTTTCCTACAAAGCTGAAAACAAATTAAAATGTGAGCAAGCGTAATAACTTTTAAAAAGCGTGAAGAAAGATTTTACATATAAAGAAATGTGTTCGTTATAAATAAAGTACAAAATGGAAACAAGCAGACAAATTGGATGAATAACAATATTTTATCTCTACTGTTGGAAACGATTATTTTTATTACGTGTTGTATATTTAAACTATAGCAATGATGTTAGGAATATATTTTGCGTCAATTTCCCGCGTTGATTTCGATGTATTCGGTAATTAATACAAAATATAATCATGTTTTTAAAGAAGCAATTTGAAGTTGATGTACATACGTTTCTTTCGTACATTTCCATTTCAAAATAAGATGTCGTTTCATATATAATCATAAAATATCCACGATTTTGCATAATCTTTTGCATTTCTGTGGTTATGAAATTATCGCCATTTATCTTAAAACAGGTTTGCACGTAATAATCTTGTAATAAGAACTGAATTTATGTGTCTAGAGGATATTCTTGTGTTTTCCGGTAGGGGACAGGATTGAAGTCTCAAGAATTCTTTGGATTACATAATGCGGGACGGACACTGCAGTAAGGTGGCGGTGCCAACAAGAGCTTGTTGGTGATAGATGTAGTGATCGAGACGTCTATCTCGCGAAGAGGAGAGGTACAGATTATCCAAGATATTTGAGTATTTCAGCTATCGCGATTGACTGGAATCGATATGTCTCTCGAGACGAGGTAACATACGAGTATCTGAAATAAATTAAAAATTGTACTTATCGAAATAGATTAGAAGATGTACTTTTACTTTCGAAAATTGTTACAGCGAGGAAGGACGTGCCATGATGGGCTACTATTCGACAGACGAGAATTCATCATTCGTCGAGCATAATAACAATAATAACAACGTTAAGACTGAAAAGGGCGATTTGAGGGAAGCAACTGTGCAATCTTCATCGAATTCGAAGGCAGTGCTTGCGCAGGTGAAATATATAACAATATATCAAAATACATATATAATTGCTTATATTTGAGACAACTTTCTTTAATATTTACATCGTTGAACGAAATCATTAAATGGTAATGCATCTGCAGTGAAATGCGTAAAGTCTGAAAAATTGTCAACGTATTAAACAACTACTGCAAAGGATTACCGTGCGTGACAAATTTTTCCCTTTATTTACTGTCATTCACATGTAAACTGATAACTTTCGCACAAAAGGAAATTTGCAACGCGGCGCACTGCATGCTCAACGATGCGCGATCAACGTAGATATTCTGGATTAGTGCCAGAACATTTTTCTGTTTAAAAATAGGTGGAAAGGTACCAAACACAACACATACCTCTACCATTTTTCATCACCCGTGCTATCTTATTACTCGTTTTATCTTCTCGATGGAAAAATGTAACGCGATGCATCACCTGTAACAATATATAAATGTTACTTTCACAAACTGCTGAGCACGGGATTATACTGACGTACTTTTAGCAAAACATAAAATTTTAAGTTCTAAGTAAATAACCGCAGTTACTACGAAGCATAAATTGTGTCTTTTCAGTGTCTCTGTGATGCATGGAAATTACATTGCGCCGTAACAAATAAAATTGTGCTTCTCTCAGTAAAATCCCCGCTCATACACTTGCTTATATTTTTTTGCCCGCGATGCGCTATTTGTTGCCTTTCCCAAGATACATATCTGCATATCTCGGGCAGCGAGAATTCTGTTAAAGCGTATTTTTACCTTGAACGTCGCACGGCGCATAAATATCTTTGCAGCTTACGTCATGTGTCTATGAAGCTGCAGAAACGAGACAAATTCCACGCGATATAATAGCGATTTAAGTTTCGTAGAAAGAGAGCAGCGAAGCAATAGTAAATCCTGGCTAGTTGTCAACCACAGGTTTCTTATCCTCTTTCCGATTAGTTCGGGCTTGCTCTTGTACATGACGTATCTGTTTGGGAATTGTTCCAAAGTTCTTTCTCGCGACTTCAGCTCTTCGACGAAAGAACTGAGCAAAAGAGCCGAAGAGCATATGTACTTTTCAACCGTTAATCTTTCACCGCAGTAAAACTTTCGCATGTCCAAACTTATACATACCAATCAATTATACACATCAATCACTTAACTGGCATTTTTTCGTTACTTCGATTTGCGGTGGTATTTAGTGGTAATTGAGTCGGCAATATTAATTGAGGCAGATATTGCAGCCGAGCACCTCTCCATTAATTTGTACCATTGTATTGGATAAAATATTCCGAAATAATAGCGCTGTAACAATTGCGGCGAATACAATCAAATGATTAACGATTGCATTGTTCGTCGATTAAAGTGTTTAGTAACAGGTGCAGTATTGTTGGTGGCAACGGGTGGTGGCATACCGATTGGTTACAGCGCCGTTTTACTGCCGCAATTGTCCGAAGAAAATAACAGTACCTTGCACGTGGATCGCGAAACCGGTTCCTGGATAGGTAAGACGTTTAATAATCCTGTGTTTTCAACAAGAAGCTAGAAACTATTTAAAATATTTCAACGAGATTGAGAAATTTTCATTTTGAAGGAATACATTTTTATAAAGTTTCATCTTTTTTCCCCGAAAAAGGATTCATATCATAGAATGTTTCACACTGAGTGAATCGAGAAGTGAATTTCTGTACATTTGACAATATGCGTGAGATCTCGTCGTAGACCTTGCGAGTTCAAGAACCTACAAGCAGGTTCAAGGTTGCGCTATCACCCTCGTATAAATGAAGCCACCGCCGTCAATCATTGTAAACTGTATTCTGTAACTGACCTACATACTGTCTCATTGGGTAATTGGACTTGTCTCTTTACCAATGAGTGTCAAGGCCAAGTTCGTGTAGGAAGGATACCGCTTGAAGTGAATGTGTGTGAGCCTTGATAACGCGCAATGTCATTATTAAATGATCACAAAAAAAAGCGTACGACCCTTCACAAGTGCCTCCGTTTTAAATTGGTCGGGCGATCCCTTTATAATCCGCGGAGTGGCAGAGCGAGGGCAACGGCCGGAACATGAATTTTAATGGTTTTCTTTATACCTCCTCATTTATCTCGCGTGCATATCGCGTATGAGCCCCGCAAAATACATTTGCCATCCTAGACGTACAGCGTACATACATGGCGAAAAACAACGGTGTTTCGCACAAAATGCGGTATCTCTACTTACGGCGTGAAAATATATTTTATCACGTCGTAAAATTTGCAACGCCCAGCATTATACATTTCACAATTTGCAAATGTCGGATGTGCGCTAGCATAAAAGTCATGCATTTACACGAAGCCACATAAGAGTCCGCTATATCGTTTTATCGTTCAATAAGAAGCAATAAAATGTCTTTGAAAAGAAAACAGAGTGAATCTTGGCCACAAGTTAGATTAATTCGGAGAAAATAAAGATTAATGTAAAAAATATAATTTAATAATAAACCAACGATACCCAATTTTAACGACCCCTACGCCGGCCAATGTTTTTTATTTTAAAAATCAATACATGTTACAACGTTTTGGTCCCAGATTTGGACCCTTATCAAGTAATCTGAAATCGCGTACAACTTTGCACGAACATTTCTTAATAAATTGATCACAACGAAAAGAAATGTTCGTGCAAAGTTATACATGATTTCATTGCTTTTGGAGCGAAGTCTGTTTAGTAGAAAATTCATTGTTAGATTGTGTACTCGTTGCGAAAAAAGATTTGTGATTGAATTTGGACGTTAAAAACCTACTGTCTCATATTAAAAATCTATCTCATAATAGAGGACTTTCCTCTATTTGACGTTGAAGTTAAAGTTTTCAGTTATTTCAAAACTGGAAATTGAAATACAGACACGCAATCTCTCCCTTTTTTCATACGTCTGTTCACAAAATCGCGCTTAAGGCGATCGAGTGTGGCTTAAAGGAGCTACTCTGAAAATATGTGAATCACGTACGTGTTGAAAGTCTGTTGACGAATGCATAAGTTGCAAAGTCGAATCTCGATTCGACTTCGCGACTTATGTGAGTCGCTTGTGGGTGGTTTTCACATGGATAATCTCGCCGTTACCGTCCGGAATTTATTTTGCCATCTATCACGAGCGACTCTGGCAGCTGCATGCATCTTTTATAATGTTCGTTTGGCGATTTCTAAAAGTCCCAAGAATCATTCTATCACTGAAGGTGACCAGAATCCATCATTCATACAGTCGTATCAACACATAAAAATATTTTATTACACGTATTATTAATGTATCAGTTTTTAGCGTGTCGCAAATCGTTTCTTGACGTCTAAAACTCGATTTTAATCGAAAATTAGATATACGATACGCCAAAGAAATATATTTGCAGCTTTATAATAAGAATGACTCAAATCTATAATTTGTAAGTCTATTTTAAACACAATTTTATGTCTCAGGAGGAAATTTATACATAACATAATAAACCATGAAACGAAATTGGAAACTCATGTTACTATATTATTAAATTAATAAGAAAATGGGTCGCACGATAAAATTATCTTATTCGTGCTTTTATATATTCAGGGACTTTTTTCTTGAGTCGTGAATGTCGCAGCTGTCCTGCGTTTGTCCGATTAAACTTGGATAACTGTAAAATCACCCTTCTCTGACAAAGGGTATGTGTAACGAATCCCTTTAGTTTCATTAAAGCAGAGGCAACACGATAAAAAGACAAACTCGATGTACAGCGCCTCACTGTGTGATACTGATTGCATTCCTTGTGAATGCGCGGAGAATGTCGATAGCCTATGGAGGCAAGAAGAAGTGGGATTGCAATTTGCATTAATTAGTGCTACGAGCATTCCGCAACGGCACAAGAATTTCGTTCATGTATATCGGATATCAATGAGGGATTAATAGCAAGATCATCGCGACGTCGTTATTCCAAGTTTTTACTTCCTCCAGTTAAAATAGTTGTCACTTGGGTGACTTTCTGTACTGCATCACTCCTTTAATTATAAAATGTAAATTTTTACGATACGGACAAACTTTTCTCGTTCCCGGCGAGAACGCCCGAGCTTGTATCTACGCTCATAATCGTCTCAAATTCAAGTGTGCAACGATGTACTTATAATCTTATCCCCTTAAGTCGCTGAATAAAAGCAAGAGTAATCCGACTCGACGGCTCTTCCCGCGACGTTGTTTGAAAATTTCAGTGTATTATTTCCTGCGCAAGGCACCGTGTAACGTATCGATAATCATGTACGCGATTACGAGCGTGTCGTTGCGAGTTAAACTTTTAACATTTAGAACAGAGCATCCTACGTTCAGTCCAATAATAGTGTGGTTTACCTACCCATGTGATCGTAAATAGACCGTTAATTGCTCTGTTACGTTTCACGGTGTACAATAACATTTTAACAAAGCTCGTAAGAATTTTGCAGCTACGCGCCGTTTAATAAACGTTTATTAAGGCACAAATCTACATTTACGTCGTACTCGGCCTTCAATTTCATTAACTTTTTATGGCACACAAATTCCTAAACGAGAAAAGCGTGTTATTTCAATTTCCTCCCTGCCTACAATGCAAAAGAGTCCGGATCGTTGAGGAGACTGACAGAAAAATAAGGATAATATATTTTTGGCGAGACGCCCGCCTAGAGTGTAGAGAGGTGCAGGTTTCAACCCTGGCTGAGGTAACATTTTATCAATAAATTTTCTGTGTTTAAAACACACCGCCAGTTATGGTTGATTAGAAGCTTAATCATTGTTAGTCACGTACTGGCGTCAAACAATTCTTGAAGTTATTTATATACACCTAGACCGAATAATGGCGGTCAAGTGGCGGGGGGGGGGGAGGGGGAAGAGGAAGGGAACGGGGATACGTAAAATATTGCGTTTCGATAGTGCTGTGTACAACCGACAATCCGCATCGGTGCGCAGTTCACAAAAGTGGAAAATATACGCGTAGACAACATCTATACTGTTATTGCGACAAATATTATCATATGCCTCGGTGGTCGAATTGGTGAGACGCCCCGCCCAGAGTGTAGGGAGGTCCAGGTTCAAACCCTGGCCGAGGTAATATCTTTCGCAATAAATTTTCTTTGTTTGAAACACATCGCCGGTTATGGTCGATTAGAAACTTAATCGTTGATATTTTGTTAAACGTGTGGATTGATGCGATTGTTAAAGCGATGAATTATTTTGCTGTGCAGCCGCAGTTCACAGCCTGGCCACTCCTATCGGCTCGTTGTTATCAGGACCTCTCCTCGATACGATCGGTCGGCGAGGTAGCCTTCAATTGTCAGTGATTCCCCTGTGCGTAGGCTGGTTGATCATCGGCTTGTCGAGGAGCGTGACTGCTATTCTAGTAGGAAGAGTCGTCTGCGGCGTGTCAGTCGGGTTCATGGCGGTGCCTGCACAGGTGCGAATTCTAATTTAAATTTTATGACAGACATTTGAATAATACGAGATTTATGATAAAAGGATTTCCGACTGATTCCGAAGTTGGACGCAAATCAACGTTGCCTTTTTTTATACACAAAAAAATAATATTGAAAATCGATTCAGTCTACGCGCGCTTTCAGTTAATTTATTCATTATTAATCGGATATTCGCTATATTAAAATATTGCTCGGCGTGACGAGGTTTTAATAACATTTAGCGCATAATGACATTAATACAATTATCTTTCTTCCGGTCGGTTCAATTCCTCTCTGATCACGAATGAACTTTTGCCATTTGATCTGCTGTTTGACTTTTACTGTTCATTTTATCGATTGGTTTCGTTACTTGTTACTATTTAATTTCACTACTGATATCGTAGCGAAACTTTATGGCATTGCTAGTGAAATATCTACCACTCTTCTTCTGATATCCATACGAATACATTTAAACTATTGCACAACTGCGATGGAATCAATGAGAAATTCTTTTACTTGAAATTTTTTTCTATTCTGCTTTTTATCTTTAATTAAGCGGTTCCATTATTTATTTGTATGTTATTTGTTGAAACTTGATTGATATTAAGAGGTGACTGTTACAAACTGTGTACTGTGGTCTGTAAATTAGGTGCTGGTAGGAGAAACGGCTTATCCAGCTCTTCGTGGCTTCCTGGTAGTTGGCTCGTTTGCCGCGTATTGCGCCGGAATCCTGCTAGTTTATGCTCTCGGTGCTTCTTTTAATTGGGACATCGTGGCCTTCTACGCCATTATACTTCCTGTTTTGGCTTTTATTGCTCTTTGCTTGATACCCGAAAGTCCCGCCTGGCTCATTAGACGGAAGAAAATTGATGAAGCCAAGAAAGCCCTTTTGTGGCTCAGAGGTGGCAATACGGAGGAGGTAGGAACTTATTTCGAAATTTTCTTATTTCACCTATATATGTACGAGCCTTTTATCAAACGTACTACACTACGAAGCCACCGTGAAAATGTTATAAGCGATTAAAAGAGTCTTAATTAATTAGATGACCACGGAGATAGAGCTCCTGGACGCAAGCATAAAAGCTGATCTCGCTAGAAAGCCTGTAAATACGTCGTTTAAGAAGCAGGTCTCCTCAATGTTATCTACAATTCGCGATCCGGGCGTGTTGAAACCACTGATAATCATCAACGTATTTAACGTGCTTCAATTAAGCAGCGGAACGTACATTATTGTCTTTTATGCCGTTGACATGATCAAGGACATGGGTGAGAAAAAGTTTTAACGTCTTTTGGCGAAACATTAATCTCCTGCACGAAAACTTTGTGATGAAAATATCTAAATTAGACGATATAACGAAAGTGAACATTTTTAAAGAAAGATGTGCACGCCATGTATGAATAAAGATGTATACGCAAAAATATTATATTAGGCACGAAGATCCAATACGACTGTCACAGACTTTTCTGTTATGTAACAGCAAAAATTTTGATAATGCTATTTCTCGTAGGTGACGGCAACGTGGATAATTATTTGGCAGCTGTGGTGACGGCAGTCATCAGGTTCATCTTCTCCCTCGCCTCTTGTGTTTTGTTACTTAAAATGGGTAGGCGAACCTTAGGCATAGCTTCGGCAGTAGGCACATCCTTGTCTTCGTTGGTTCTGGCAGGATATTTGGCCGCCAGGAAGGAGGGATCTTCCGTGGACGTGAGTGTGACTGATGAGTTTTATGTTTTTCAATTTGTCTAATGTGTTAATAAACTTAATGAAAAAATTTCAGGTCTACGTGTTGGCCGTGTGCCTGTTGGTTTACGTCGGTGCGAACACCGTGGGACTATTAACGCTTCCTGGACTGATGACTGGTGAACTGATGCCTCTGAGAGCTCGTGGCATTGGCGGCGGATGCATCTTTTTCATCTTCAATCTGCTTCTATTCTTCATGACCAAGTGCTTCCCATGGGTAAAAAGCACCGCATTATAAGATTCAAAAGTTATAATTTATACTCATTCTGCCAGGAAAATTTTACCAGGAATATATAAAAAATATATATATATGAAAATTTTAACGTTCTACATACTTCTCTGAATTTATCGAAATCACATATAACGATAGATATTTTAATAGGTAAATAGTCTAGTTGGCACAACGGGAATCTTCACTATCTTCGGCATCTTCTCCCTTTTGGAAGCGATTTTCATTTACCTCGCTTTACCAGAAACGAAGGATCGTACGCTTCAAGAAATTGAAGAATACTTTCAAGTAAGAAAATTTAATTAAGACATGGACCGAGTTTATTAATAGCAACAGTATGAATATATAATTGTGTTTCCACAGAAAAGTAACTTCTTATGGATAACTAGAACACAAACGAAAAAAACGAAGAGACAGGACGCACGTATAACTGCAAATACTGAACCTAATCGTTTAGTCTCTCTACTAGAGTTTAAATAAGAACAAAACGTGATTAAAATTTATATACGGCTGCGATAATATTTTATATATGAGACATAATTGTACATTTTTAATATTTAAAGTTAATTCTGTAAAAATATTGCGTTGTCGTGTGCGAAATATGTGCGGTTAAATATTATATTAAATAAGTGAAAACTGTAGAAAAGTAACTTATATATATATATATATAATATATTCTTAAGTTAAACAAATCTATTTAAATTTTACAATTGATATTTCAATAAAATAGATTTTATGATAAGAGTATTTCTGATTGATTCCGTTGCAATTAATTGATCAATTACATGCGCCTTTATTTAAACAACGGCAGAAGCGGCATATGTTATCAGTATGGAAATATGTAACGGAAACCTTCGTGCATAATTTTATTCATTAATCGATAGTACCTCATGTATTTTTTTTGCAAAATTACCAAATGATATTCATGTTATAATAATGATATAAAATAACGAGAACATTAAGTGAAATTTAATACGTAAGATTATAACCTAATTCGATTATATTATATAAACGGCTACATCGTGAGAGAGTAATTTCTATTTTTATCATAAAACGTATATAAATTAAGAAAATAAGATAATGTAATTATTGCGTGTATGTGTAATTGATACTCGTTCAACGACTGTATCGATAATAATTGTGTGTCTCGTAAAAACCTAATTTTATTGTTATGATTTAATTATATGTTATTATGCGCTTCGTGTAATTTTTATAAGAGATATTTTGATAAGATATTTTATAAGCTGCATAAAGAGGATTTTTATTATACATTTTGCATTGTACTAATGTTTTGCATTTCATTATATTCAATTATATACATACGTTGTACGTTTTAGCATTATATTTTATAATTTTATATTGTATTCGATTCTTCTTTCTTTTCTTTCTTTCTCAGCCAATTGATAGACTATTCTATCTCAATCCACTCCAAGCCTCTTCCAAAAGTCTCCATGCCTGTCGGCATAGTTTCTCTGGAAGGACTTTGCATATTAAAACGCCACGCTTGCCAGGCGTGTTGGCCAATGCCTTTGTTCATCACCCAAGTGAGAATCGTTTTAATATCGATTGACGAGTCATTTCTCGCTGGGCAGAGGTAGACTCCTTGCTCGACTTTTGAACGTTAAACTCTCCTTTACATTTGTACGTTCATAGAGAGGGTAAGATACGCGCCGACTCCAGCTGAATGGTACCCGACTGCACTATTCAGAGAAAGAAAAAAAAGTCAGACTTTAAAAAGCTGTACAAAAGGCCGCCGGCTGCCTTGGTAACGTGAAGAAGATCAAAGTCAATCTCTCTCAAAAGCAACGAGCGGGACGCAAAATTCACAGTAGAACGCTAAGCCGTGATAACAATTACGTTGATAACATCTACGATGCTTCTTGTGTTCGTTCACGTAATACCCATACAGCACGCATGTCTAAAAGACATCTTTAAGACGTCTTTTAGATGTGTATGTAAGACGACTTAAAGACGTCTTAAAGATGTCTTTTAGACATGCGTGCTGTATGGGTAAATGTCTACGCGACACGCTGAGGGATTCGTGTATCTAGAACGCTTATCAATTTCCCGGGAGGTTACCAGTTTCTTCCGAGAGAGGTGGTGATCGATTGAAAACCGACAATATCTAGTCGGAATTGAATTTGGATCTTCGGCCCCAGAACAGCGTACAACTCTTTGTGCCACGATCGCCACGATCATATTTGATTATAATATTAAATCATATGTAAAAGTAAGAAAAAAAGAACTGCTTATTGTAATCGGCGGATATGGGGAACTTTTATGTTTATCGACTAGTTTTTATCGAATTTAATTTTATTTGAACTTTATTAGATGTGTTTTTACAGATATGGTTTTGGAGATAAAGTTTACTGTAATCATTCTTGTATATGTTTGAACACACATTGACACTGGAATAAAACTTTATTATCCTCTCAACTGTCTTTCTCTTCGTACATGTATAGACATGTCTATAATTACTATACACTTTTTGTATATTTATGAATATACTTCTTTGACGTGTATATATTCGCTTTCCGATACATTTCCCTCCAATATATTATTTGTAGAGTTCTAAACGTACAGTTGACAGAATCATTAATTATTCATAACATTATAATCTCGTAAAAATAAAAATGAAAATTGGCCTGAATAAATTACTAAAAAAAAAAAAGAGGGAAAATTATAATGATGCACGTTTTACAATTTTACTCTCTGTAGTCTTCGTTCCCTGAATTCCTAGAATAATAACTGCGTCGTATTTGACATAATCGCGATTATTGTTCATGATGCGTATCATCGTTTATCATGAATATCGTTTATCTGAGTTAAGGATGACTTCAAACTACGCTGCATCTAGTATGATCACAAAAATGAACAATTGATTCATATAATATCACGAACTGCTCAAATTTAGCGATAATGCACTGGTAATTATAACATCATTTAAGCGTGAGGATTGCGGAACTTCTCTCCGGCATATTTCGCGGCCGCGCCAAGCTCCTCCTCGATACGTAAAATCTGATTATACTTGGCCAAGCGTTCCGAGCGGCAGGGCGCGCCCGTCTTAATTTGGCCTGTCGAGAGACCAACGACCAAGTCGGCGATAAACGTATCTTCCGTCTCTCCAGAACGATGAGAGACCATGGTACCCCAACCGTTACTCTTGGCGAGATTATGAGCGTTGATAGACTCGGTCACGCTACCGATTTGATTGACTTTTAACAGCAGACAGTTGCAGGCTTTCTTCTCAATAGCCGTCTTGATTCTGTAAAATGAAAGCGTACATAGTAAATAGTAAAATTTATAGTTTAATTTCTACCCATAAGCAAGTTTAAGTAAACACGGTAGGTAAAGCTTGTTTTTTATGCGTCACCTCTCGGGATTCGTGACGGTAAGATCGTCACCGACAATTTGAATGGGGGTGGCAGCGGTCATGGACGTCCAAGAATCCCAGCCGTCCTGATCGAAGGGATCCTCAATCGATACGATCGGGAATTCTTTGACAAACTCCAAGTATAAGTTCTTCAGCGCTTCTGGTTCCAGATACGTGCTCGGATCAGATTTCTCGTTCTTAAAATCCAAGTCGTACTTCCCGTTTTTGTGGAACTCGGAGGCGGCTACGTCCATGCCGATTTTGATCTTTCCTTCGTAACCAGCGGTCTACAAATTCAGAACAAAATTATTGTTAGATAACAGTAATGGTAAAGTGACGAATACTCGAGTTATAAATCTTTCAGTTTACCTTAATGGCGTTTATGATCAAATTAAGGGCTTCCTTGTTTTCCAAGATGTTCGGTGCAAAGCCGCCCTCGTCGCCGACCGCTGTGGCGTCGAGACCGAACTTCTTCTTGATTCCTGCCTTCAGGTGGTGGTAGACTTCACTGCCCATTTTCATCGCTTCTGTGAAATTGGATGCGCCTGTAGGCAAGATCATGAACTCTTGCATAGCCAGCTTGTTGCCAGCATGAGAACCGCCATTAATAACATTGAATGCTGGCACTGGCAAGACAATGTCATTATTGCCAGCCAACTCAGCAATGTATCTGTAACGAAAAAATATATTTTTTATTACGGTACGTATATTTATATACAGGGTTGGGAAAAGTTACTTTATAAAAGTATCTAGTTACAGTTACAGAGTTTTTTCGCTAAAAATGCAACTAGTTACAGTGACCAGTTACCAGTTGTGAAAAGTAACGCGTTACAATTACAGTTACTCAAAAAGTAACGAGTCTTTACTTTGCAGTTACTTTCTTGCGATACAAATTAAACTATCACATATGCACTTGAATCGTACAGTGTCGATAAAGGCGTTTATGCGCAAAGGCAAGGCCTATTGCGATTTGTGAAGGTTTAAAATATATACAAAGTAACAATTAATGTAATTGAGTTAAGTTACAGTTACAGATAGAGAGAAAGTAACAAAGAAAAGTAACTGTAACTTACAAGTAACGAGTTACCTCCCAACTCTGTATTTATACATATATGTTTATGTGCTTTTATTTTTACGAAAAACTATGTGTAAAAGAACAATTTTTCTTTAAGACAAAGCAGTTTTACATCAAAGCATGAAAGTTTACGTTTCTGAGAGTTTTTAAGAAGACACTATGTTGAGTTAAAAACAAATTATATAAAGGCGTTTATTAGATTATTCAAAAATATTTTAAAATTGTACATAAAATTTTGAAAAAAATAAAATCTTTTTAAAAGAAAATATAAAAAAATAACCTGTTAATAAAAGTACGCCCACCGTGTGTGACAATTTCCGTATAATTCGTGCAAAATAACTTTCTACTGTAAAAATGACCGATTTGTACCAAATATATTTACTTGTATAAAGGTAAGCCTTTTTTCTGAGCACCAGCTTTGCAAACTGCTAAAGAGACACCCAAAATTGCATTCGCTCCAAATTTGGATTTATTCGGCGTGCCGTCCAGCTTCAGCATGAAGTTATCGATCTCCGTTTGCTGCGTAGCCTCCAAGTTGGCCTGGAGAACGAAAGCGCATTTGTCAATTGTTTTTATTAATCATGAATAGCTCTCTCCTCTGTCAAATATTACACGATAGATATTCCGGCATGTATATATCGTACAGAAAGCGATACCTTTAACAATTCAGGAGCAATGATAGAGTTGATGTTTTCAATAGCTTTAAAAACGGACTTTCCATGATACTTTGACTTATCGTCGTCCCTCAATTCCAGGGCTTCGTGAACGCCAGTAGACGCGCCGGATGGTACTGCTGCGCGGAAGAGTCCAAGATCGGTGACAAGATCGACCTAGAAGAGCAGACAATATTAGTAGAAGAATATTCAAGATATCACAGACACGTCTCCGAGATTCAATGATTCACCTCTACTGTGGGGTTTCCACGGGAGTCGAAGATCTGACGAGCCTTGATGCTTTTTATTGGCATTTTGACGCAACTGCTTGTCGACGTGAAGAGCCTTACTGAGATTAGAGAACTGCAACAGAACAGCGCAGGAAAATTATAAGCAGAGTGTGTCGGTTATTGAAGAATAAAAGTCACCTGGCATTTATTATTAAAAAACCTACTTCTAGCTCTCGCGCGTTACGAAGTAAATATATCGCCGTAAATAAACTTAGCTGCTCGTCTCAACGCGATTTCGCCAAAGATGTAGTCTTTTTCTTAGTGTACAATTATACGACTTTTTGTTACAACGATCGTTCGATGTTGCAAATTGCAACAACTGTCACAACAGGAAAATGGAGACGAAATTAAATCCGCAATTTTCGTGCAAAGAAAGAGAACCGTCAGGCAAGCGCATTGCGGCATGGTGCAACTTCTGCTGCACAGAAAATGACAGCAAAAGTTACCAAGTGTAACTTGGAAGACAATTGTATAAGGTTGCATCTTGCGGTTATCAAAGGATTAATTCTGAATTGACAGTTTAACGCTAACTATCGATAAATCGCGGCGGACGTCCGTCGAGCTGTACGTCGACCTTGTCAAGGTCATCGCACGGTCCGGTGTCTAAGAAGACCAATGTCCAGCACCGAGAATATCCGGTTTACGTCAAGAGCGACGTTTACACGCTCAATATCTCACTGTTGGCGAAATTACGATTGTTAACGACCTTGCGTTAACGAGGCTTCGACACGAGACGATGCGGCCGGCACGTAACACCAGCATTTCCTCGAGGCGCGCAGATGGGGAGGCACGCACTCGGGCGAATTTAGCGGAATTTATTTTCCGACCCACTGCGAGAGGCTTGCGATTTTTACCCGACGGACACGGCGCGCGCCGGACGTTGCTCCGAAAATCCTCACCTGACGTGACACGCGTGAGACACTCCGCACGGAACGTTTGACGAGGAGTGAGGAGCTGAGTGACCTAACTGACGACCTCCTCTCGGTCGTGATGCCAAGCCGAGAGCTATCGATTGCAAGATGCACGATATTAGGTTAACGGAGGGACCGGGAAAGGAGCCTGGTCTCTCCCCGCGATGGATGCTGAAATAATCATTCAAGGGGTGGCTTTCTCCCGTCGTTGCCTCCGGGATGTTCGGGAGTCGCATTTGTCGCCGTGCTCCGATTTTGCAAAAAGTCCGTTTCGGCTCTCGAACGCTTTATTCATTGAATTCGACACAAGTCAGCGATTGGACCGACCGAGACCGTTCGGTTGAGTCTGCAGATGCGAACCAATCGGGTTCGACTACTATTGATAACGAATTGGAATAATAAAAAGGAGTCGCTGTTTATTTCGTTAATTTCTTTTTGTTAGCTTCAGATTTCTCCCTCGCTCGCATTGTCGCTTCCCGCATTCGAGAGCGAAGTAGATCCGTGCTGCGTAAGTGCTGGAAGATAATGGAGGAGAAACGCCTCTGATACGCGACCATGTCGCTTGAAATACGCCTATTCCACTATATCTTTGTTGGCACCACTGTACCGTCTTTGCCCATCGTTTTCAAATACAGTTCTATCACAGTTCTGCTACGTTGTCCGCTTAGGTCAGACGTGTTTGCGTCTAAAGTCTCCCGTAATCCACGGAACGTGGTCCGACTGCACTTCTCATTCGGGGAAAAGAAGAAATGGACCTGAGGAATTCGCATAAGAGGCCGCCGATCGCCTTTGGTAACGTGAAAAGGATTAAAGCTGATCTCTCTCAGCAGCAACGGGCGAAGCGCAAGACGCGCAGAACGCAGAACTTCGAGGACAATCGAAGGGGGGTCTCGCCAGGCTCCGCAATATCACAAAATGGTGAGACGTGATAACGCAATCGTTATTGTTATGCAAATGTAAATGCGCGCGATACGCCGGGAGAGATTCACGTATATCTCGAACGCTTATTAACGTTTCGATAATCGCGTGCCACGTTTGGTCGACGTTACCTGTAGGCAGCGAGTCAGGGAGTTTTTCTGTTATTTATGTACGTTTCAAATTCACCTTCAGCGATGATATGATATATGTATTAAGACGAAAGAACAGCACGCGTGAATATCAATCTTTGCCGACGAAGAGACTCGCCAAGTCTCGATGAATAAATATGTAAAACATAAAATTCTTTCTCTTGTGTTATTAAATAAATTAATTCTAACACCGATAATTTTCAATGGTTTAGGAAATTGCATTTATGAATGTTACGAAATTATTGTAACAAAAATAATGTAGATAATGAAACGTAGCAAGAACGCAGGACTTCGAGGAAAATCGAAGGGGGGTCTCGCCAGGCTCTGCAATATCACAAAATGGTGAGACGTGATAACGCAATCGTTATTGTTATGCAAATGTAAATGCGCGCGACACGCCGGGAGAGATTCACGTATATCTCGAACGCTTATTAACGTTTCGATAATCGCGTGCCACGTTTGGTTGACGTTACCTGTAGGCAGCGAGTCAGGGAGTTTTTCTGTTATTTATGTACGTTTCAAACTCACCTTCAGCGATGATATGATATATGTATTAAGACGAAAGAACAGCACGCGTGAATATCAATCTTTGCCGACGAAGAGACTCGCCAAGTCTCGATGAATAAATATGTAAAACATAAAATTCTTTCTCTTGCGTTATTAAATAAATTAATTCTAACACCGATCATTTTCAATGGTTTAGGAAATTGCATTTATGAATGTTACGAAATTATTGTAACAAAAATAATGTACATAATGAAACGTAGCAATCGTACGCGTTTACGTTTGTTACGTAAAAGAAATTGTGCGTTTTAAATGTTTTTTTTTTCAAAGTTGTTACAGAAACCCACAGAAAGAAGTTATCAGATTGGAGAGCTGAACGGAGGAGCAACAGGGAGACGCAGAAATCCCAAAAAAAGCCGCCATTCGTCGTTGGAATAGTTCGACATCATTTTTATTCTCCGATATCAAAAGTCGCGCCTGTAAAGAAGAAGAAAACGGTCCAAGGGCAAACAAGCTCTGAAATCACAAAGAGAATTACAAAAGCCACCGAAAAGCGTTTGCAAACTAAGGCGGCAAACGCTGCAACGAAGCCGCTTACAATTTCGACTAAAAAAACATCTACGACAGAAATCCCAGCCGACAACAAAGTCAAATCTGGCGTCGTAAAACGAAAATCGTTTGCGCCAGTTAATCATAAATTTGGTCCGCCTCCTGGATTGCCCCAGATATCTTTATCTAGAAAAGCGTGCAAAAATAGCCCCTTTCTAAACAAACATATTTTCGCACGCGATAAATTAACGAAGACCGCTGTCCAGGAGCCAGTTTGTTCCTGTGTTTCTACGGAAGCGAGCACCGTAAAAGCTCCATCATTAGGACTTTCTTTACCTACATTTCTCGAAATGGAAAAAGAAGAGACTAATAATGAACTTACGACGAAACACATGGAGCATTCTGGTACACCAATAAAGAAGAGATATGTGTATGTCGGAACTTTTAAAGCCACGCTGAACGAAGAAAGAAACAAGCTTCAGAAACTTTGCGAGGATTGGAGGCAAATTCAATCGGAAGATCACAACAACATCACAGAGGATATTCGGTATCAAATTAATCAAGCAGTAGGGCAAACGACTATGTTAATGAATGGGAAATTTAAACAATTTCATAGCTTACTCCTCAATTACGAGAGAAATGACGATGACATGGCGGTAACTTGTATGGATTTACATGGATTTTGGGATGTCATATACTTAGAAGTAAAGAATTGCCGTTCGCGATTTGCAAAACTGAATAAACTTCGTGCTGGATATTGGCAAGAGGATCAGGCATCTTTCACGACATCTACTAGATCTAACGAAAAAAGTGCTACTAAAAGGAAAGCTGTGTCGGCAAGAGAAAGCTTGCGGCGAGCATCAATTATATCAAGTAAAACGAAACGGGTTGCAGAACTTCAAGACAATGAGAAAAGTTCACAGAAATTACTTAATGTGAACAACACAGCCTCGCGTAACGAGCAATGTAAAATGTACACGTCAACACCATTTCCTACAACTCCACTTATAACGATGAAAGTCAGCCAGCTGTACGACAAATTCAGCTGTACAATAAACTCGCGCAATGACAGGGGGCTGCTTGTAACTCCCGGACAAACACCCAGGAAGAGTTCAACAGAGGAATCGGAAAGGCCTGGAAGTCCAAGAAGAACATTAGTACGGCAAAATTTGAACGACCAATTTACCCTGACACTCAACGAGAAATTGGTGATCGAGGAGAATTCAAGCTCGAATTCTGAATTTAGCGGTTCCGTCCAAACAGTGCTCGAGAAAACCACTACGTTTACATTGTCTTCACATAGTATCACGCCAATTGAAGTTCAACAGCCTGAAGAGAGGGACTAATATTAATATAGATAGATAGATAGATGACTAATATTAATATATTGTTAGTTTTAAAACTATTTTACTGTTTAACTTTTTTCGTATATTACATCATAAATGTACTAGGACATCATCGAAGAATATGTTTTATCCACATCACGCTTACATTGTTATATAAATGGGTTTTGTATAAATTAAGAAATAATGACATGTATTAGAGAAATATCGAGATGATTATTTCGCGGAAGGATCCGTCGCGCAGAAGTAAAGGCAATCGTTTATTTAATCTTTTTCCGTGTTTAGATACAGTTCACACAAATATATACAGACGTGACTGAGCACATTTACAACGGTTTGTATTGAAATGTGTGATCGCGCGCTGCGTCCAATAAGCGAACCCGTCGTTTCTGTCGTTGGCCGCGTTGCGCATTAATATTGTATATAAATAAATTAAAGACCCAAATTAATTTATATAAATAAATTACTTAGGTACACAAATGTCACGATAGCTAACGTATTAATTCGCCGTTTCCGCCTCGCGAAACAACGATAATACTAGTCCAACAATAAAATATATTGTGTGGTCCTGATCGTTCTCTGATTGACGCAGAAATCAAATAGTTTGACGACCGAACACGCGGGTGCCGTATAAATATCAAGAAATGATTATAATCTACGAATAAATATCACGTTAAATATGTGCATTATCTGCAAAATATCGTCTCACTTTGTTTTCCCTTGCGACCGCGCGAGCGTAATATACGAACACCGGGGAGATTGTACGTATTAATATAATGATATAACGAGCCGAACGTACGGTACATTTCGGCGCCGAATTACAGTGCACACTCGATCCCTCTGGCACTTGGATTTAATTGTGTGCGATTTGCGACTCGTTTCATTTATATTTCCGGTCTATCGGAGCGCGCGTCGCGATAATTAATTATATCATAGATACGCAATGAAAAACTATCCGTAATTGCAATCGTCCAGGGAGCAGTTCTCTATAAACTTTTTCATATATAGATTGCAGCTTGAAGATATAGGTACTTGAAGAATTCTCGTGTGCCATTAGAGATGGGATTCGTCGCAGCGACAATTGAATTTTCCGATTCTTCCTTTTGATTCAAGAATAACGAAGAACGGAATTGCATTCAATTTTATCCTGCCGCACATGATGGAATATAATGGAAGACTAGGTGTCTTCGTGAGGCGATTCTGTTCTATATTCATTACAACTTCACGGTATCTAACACACTTAGCTTGAGTGAATGTGTGGTTTCAAGCTTATCCGACAAAGTTTCCAGTTAAGTGGTTGCAGGAAACTCGCATACATACGTACACATCGATAGAAAGTAACGCAAAAGTACAGATAAACGTACGTATCATATTATAAATACGTACACGAGGGGATACCGAGAACGCGCCGTTGCGATAATCTTTCAGCCGGCTGATGTCACGTTAAAGCTTTCCAAGTTCCATTCATTCGTTCGCAAAGATCGACTCATAAGCGAAAATATTCTTTAGCGACACAATCCTTTCACGCTAGCTCACATACAGAGGAATGAGTTTACGATTCCTAAATTATAGCTATAGGTATCTCGATAGAGAGATGCCGTTCGCAACGATAGCAATAAAAAATTATACCGGCGAATCGTTTGTGTGAGATATTGTCACCGTAGTATACATATCAACTGAACTGAAACATTTTCATTATTAGTTTACTTATTTGTAATCTTACCTGTGACCATAATTATATTCTTTTATATCTTATTTATTTCCATCAGATATATATATATAATATGTATATATCGGTCAGTAGCTCGATGTGTTTCATAAAATTTGGTCAGACTTTTTAAATCTCTTAACATCACGATATGCTGCCCAGTATTTGTACGACGTATAATTACTTTGTAATTGAGAATAACTCTGAGATAACTGACATCAACGTTTACTCGCCCATTAGAACTTTAGGTTTAATCGTGCCGTAAAGTGCCCGAAACTGTTCGTATCCTGGTAGTCCAACGTCCAGCTAACGTATTGTCTATTACTGTTATTATGTAACAAGTTTGCGTGTGATCGTTTTGGTTTATTGTAACGACAGTGGTTATCCGGGCATCGCGTCAATCCCCTTGTAAAATTAATTGTAAATTCGATCAGGTCACCTCGCTAACATTCTTACGTCGAAACATGAAATTTCAGAAGCTCGGGATCTTAGATTTAGCGGTACACTCTTTAGCAGCTTGTCGATAATTATTTATCTCTTTGAGTCGCGTAGGTACAGTGTCTGATACAGCGAGCCACACTTGAAGTATGCAAAAATCGCGGATTAACATCTGGCTCCGACAAGCGCGCGACATGATATCTTTGTGATTCTCTCCTGCCATAAGCTGTTTACTGAATCACCATTGAGGGTCCACATGCAACAAGGGAGGTACGAGATAAAGTAGATCTGAAACCACACAGGGACGCACACTGTTTTCCGAGGCTACATCGGCGCGTCGCACAGTGGTGCTACTCCCGAACGAACGTTCGCTCAACGAGCCTTCGGTGCGGTAGCGAGAAGCTAAGCTAAATAAGTCCTGGGATTAGTCTTCGGGACTCCCGCCGGGCCGTCTCCCTTGGTGGAGCACGACGACCAGGCCTCCTCGGCCAGACTGCCGTATCTCTGCACGCCCGGGAAAGGAGGCCCGGAGCTCTGCGGCGAGTAGTAGCCGCCCTGCAGCTGCTGATAGTAATTGCCGCCGGGCTGCTGCTGGTACTGCTGGTACTGATCGCCGCCCAGCAAGACGTTGCTGTAGCCGGAATACGAGCCGTACTGGGACGAGGAGTACGAGGAGGAGGAGTAACCGCGTTCGCTCAGACTGCGGTAAGGCCCCGAATGATGGGGCCTACCCTCCTGTCAGACCGGGGTGCTGACCGCAGCCGAGCTTATGTACTCGATGTCACCGATGCTCTTCACCCGTCGATGCCGTTTACCGCCGCCGGTCGACATCGGCCGCGGCGGAAGCTGCGGGGGCGGCGGCGAGTTGCTGCGGACACTGCTGCTCATGTACTGGCACTGGCTGGCGAGGCTCCCGGTGTCGGAGGACGATGACGGTGACGCCTTCTCGCTTCTAGGCCGGAGACCGAACGCCCTGCTCAGGGATCCCTGCGAAAACACGCCATGTGTCTCGATTAACAGGACTGCGACTTGTAAGGTCGCTGCTTAGACGGCGAATCTCGACTTTCCGGAGAGATTGAAGCTACGAGCAAACGAGCGACCGGGAGATGCCTACGTATTATTAGAATCAATTGAGATAGACGGGAAAGAAAGTGAACGTTCTAAAGTAAATCTTTCAATGGCGTCGGAAAAATAAAGATCACTTCTAAATATTTCTTATAAGTGTATTTTTGCGTTGCTGGATTGAAATGAAAAGAAACTATGGAATGCAGAAATTTAGATAGCGTCAGGTATTAAAAACCTGGTGCAGCTGGATCTTTGTTCCACGTTAGAACGAACATCTCAGTTTGCGCATTTTTCATCTAACGCATTTAACGCGGAACAACTTCTCGCTATTACGTCCGTAACCGCTGCGAGACTGAAGTGTCGCTATCTAAATTTCACGACGACACTCGCTGTGTCTGTCAAAGTGAGAGGACGAAGCGTGTATGAGACAGAGATTCAGGATTCGCTGGGTGGCAGAGTGATTCTTGCAGAATGATTAAAAGCGGTGGACGGAATGCACGTGCTACGACAACGAGGAGGGGCCCACCGTTTTCGCTCGGCCACTTCGCAGCGGGCCCGTCCTGATCGTCACCCACGATGGTCAAAGTGGTGCGGCGTGTCAGCGGATTAGTGGGGAAACGTGTGAGGGACGCTACGCGGGCGAGGAGTACGTACTTGATTGTATTAATGTGGTGCATACCTGTGAGCTCCTCCATGACAACTAGTAAAAGGACGAAATAAGGTCGATTAAGAATCCACACGCTCAATTTCCACATTGATATCGTCAGTTTATATTTACACAATCGATTATGACGGACGACCGCGGGTCGCCGCGGCGCCCTTTTGCAGTCATAAATTATGGCCCGCTATAAATACGTCTGCTACGTAATTCGAGTTGCATAATGCATAATGCAATTTTAATCGCTAATCGCTATAAAGGTGTACCTGAAGACACGGGACACTCTGCTTACATACATGAGGAGGACACGTGTTTGGCTAACGTATATGCTCGTTATATACAGTGTTTACAGTGTGGCATTACGCGTACGTCGGTGTAACTTTAGCGCTGAGAATAGGGTATAATCGCGGGATTAGGGGATGCGCAGTTTCACAGCGGCTGCATTGGGTAATACCCGATAGATCCATGAATATTTTTTTACTGCCTCCCTCTCCTGACGCCTTCAATTTATTTACCGCGCGGAATATAAAGAAACGGTCGTGACCTAATTACCAAGGCAGGGTAAATTGCGATTTAATTACCGAGATAATTATCGATCCGATAAAATCTTCCAATAAGAACCTTGTGAAATGTATAAGTCGTCTCCGCGAAGAAAGAAAATATATAAATATTCCTATAACATTTCCCTTCGCTTTCCAGTGTACGAGAACAAGTTCGGATGTTAAATATTCATTTTCACTGACGAATAAACGTGGACAAACTTGTTCTTCCTTACGCAAGTCTATAGCCTCTTCTCAGCGCGGCAGATTGTCTGGCAATCTGAGTGGACTATGAAAATGGAAACGAGATATACAAGTAGATGATTAAATACAAGAAGGAGAGGTGTTTCCGCGATCTGCTTCATTTTCTATAATTATGGATAATACGGCTGCAAGGCTTAGGCTCGTACTCCATCAGTCTTTTTCTCTTTTACCTTGCGAACGGTTTTCTGACACTGAATTCAATGGATCGGTATCCGCGCGTTCAGGCGTTTCTCGCGCCCGACAGACCGGGCACAACGATAATTGCTCGATTATTCCGAGTCTGCTGTACAATCAGATCTTTCGTTCGATTACTCCTTTGCTCGCATTTCAGGGTCCGCGCGATCGAGGGACGAGATCCATAACAATCGTCTGGATCTCAGCGAAGCCTTGTCCCGAACGGAGTTGATCAATTAATCGCGTTAATCGGAAATTTTCCGTTACCTTCATCGGCTTCGCCGAGATCGAGGATTTTCTTTCTCGAGCGAGGAAGCGTTCGTACGAAAGAAACGCTTCGTCGTTCCGCGATACATTTGCCGCACTGATGGTTCCCTATTTTACTTCCCTAGAAAAGGATATGGGCACGAGTTTGCGACCGGCTGAGACATTAATTTGATTGTCGCGACTAGATATCTATGCACGAAATTAATAATAAGTCAAGTTAGAGTTCAATTGCAACGCATCGTAATCAATTTTTCTCGAGAAATTATAATTATGATTGTAACAGTGGTAAACACTGGTCACGAACAATTGCTTACTCATGTGCCCTCGCAAAGGCACATTTTTGCAAAATCTCCTGCTGTTAACTCGAGAATTTTATTAAATTAATATTAAAAGACTGTCTAGCCGTTGATAATTACACTGGAATCAATCTCTATGGACTATCGGAGACTTTGCAAAAACGTGCTGCAATTGATCGATCAGCAATGGATACAGCGAATCGATGTGGCTCCGTAATAATGGAATGTTCTATGACATAGAACAATGTATAAAGAACTTTAAGAAAGAAACAATGGATATATATGTAATAAATACTGAACCTTTTTCAAGTAAAGAAGACTGCAGGTCTGCGACAATCCACAGGATGCAGGGACAATGATTAACGTTAGGTCGAGCTCATAGCTCACAGCGTGAAATTCTGTCGTTGACTCTCGTCGTGTAAAACTTTCAACGGACTACATGGACGACCAAATCTTTTTCCTTTCATACAGCAAACAGTGTAAGTGTAAATTTTTCACACAGCGAATTAAAATCATTAATAACGTGAAGAATTATTTAACGCCAGTAGTCGATTAACAAATTTAGAAAATTGCATTGGTAAAATTACTAACTTTCAGGAACCAATATAAAGTGCACATTATAATATTCTAGTATAAAAAATGTGATATTACGAACTTATACAATTGGTAAAAAAAACTATACATTTTACTTGACATGTTAAAAGGTAATACGTAATTTTGATGACTGTGCGTGAATTTTTTTATTACGATACGTAATTTTTCTCACACCTTTTCTCGTAAAGTCGTAGAGCTTTGAGGCAATTACGAGAGTGTTGTCGTCCACAATTCGGAGTAATCGTTCGTTTCTTTCTCGACGAGAATCAATTACGATTATTAAGGGGAAATATTTCGCTGTAAAGCGAAATATGTTATGCGAGCGTCCTTAATTTAAGCGATGCCATGCAATATCGTGCCAATAATTAATAAAAATAAAGAGCTAATAGTCACAGATGAGATGCATGAACGTGAGTGAGTGTGTAAACGGGAATAAATGACTGCACAATGAAATGCGATTGCGTTTAAAGTGAAATAATAAATCAACTCGGATGTGCATTTTTAAGCGCGTTTGTTTGTCCTATGTAACCGATTACTGATATGACCCGCATTGATTACAATTTATCTAATTAATTGTGGATATGTCGAGGAAACGGTATTATAGAAGTAATAGATATTTCTTGATAGTTGATAACATACACAGTTTGGCGCGAGAGAACTGAAAAATTATTAAATAATCTTGTCACAATGCAAGTAAAAGATCTCCAAGTTATCCTTCGAAGATGGAACGAAAGAAAGAAGACGTCTATTCATTTATGTAATCCTAATGGAGAAATATTAAGATTATCACATATAAATATCATTTCTCTAAATATTAATTTTTCTACAATGCACTGATCATGATAAAAACAAGCATATGCTTCAAGAAGCAACTCGCCGGGAGATAACTCTCTAAAAGATGTATCTCTCGCACTACCCTTATCTCTTTCCAGGCCAAATAAAAAAAGAAGATACAAGAATCAGTTGTCTCGTTGATTAAGGGCCGGTTGTTCCAACCTCTTGGTAAGTTAACTAATAATTAAATCATATACACGTCTTTGTTTCTTCTTCTAATTAGACAAAGATAGACATATACTTTAACCATTAGTTAGCTTACCAAGAGGTTGGAAACACCGGCCCTTAGTCCTATAATTTAATCTAATAGTTATACAATATAATATATAAGCAATTAGTGTATTTTTATGAAAAGAAGAACAAGCATAGGAGTTCGCAAGTTCGATGCGTCGAGCTCAGAAGTGAGCAGAAGAAGCTGCGTTGAAAAAACGATTACCTCAGCAACGATTAGACCAAACTAACGACCACCCCTCGTTCGAAAGAGTTAAGGGAAGTGCAGAGGCGTGGCGGGGAGCGGCATTGAGTTTCTGGAGCGCCTGTACGCGGACCAGACCCTCGTTGAATCTAAACGGTACGTTACCCTGAGGCTGGATCTGCGCCTGTCGACGGTGCCGGTGTGGTTCGCCGTCATGTGGAGGGCCGACAGCGAGCTCTGATGATGCTGTAGATGCAGCGCCCTGCTCCCACGACCAAGACTACCGCCCGCGCTCGCGGTGCTCATTGGACGGCCACCCCCAGCGGTGCTGTTCCTCGGGACCACCTCCAGCTGACTTCTACGCACACACGTACACCACCCTTTTTTCATGCACGCTTTCTTGCGTACACCTTGGCGTCCTTGACCGCCCGATATGCACATACCTCGGACACACACACACACGTGTGACACGTGCTACAGCGAACCACTCTTTAAACACACATGTATCTTCGTTTCTGCCAAACTCTTATTCGATATCTTTATATTTCAAACGCGAGACACTTGACAATTGAACATTAATCGTTAAATAACATTTTTTACACGGACTTTTCCCGAAAATTATTTAACTCCGTGACCTGACGATTTGGCAGTGGTTCACTGTAGGTGTCTGACGATAGAACGAGATCTATCTTATAATGAATATCTAGTTACAACATAAATATACATACACAAGCATTTTGTGCACCACCGATATAGAGTAATGTATAATGTTTACTGGGCTGCCGATACGCCGAGGGCTGGTCCCCTGGAGTCGGACCAACCGAGACGCATCTCCAGCCACGCTAACCAGTCAACGAGAGTAAACATCGAACAGTCAAAAGATATATGTAAATATCAAAGTTGGCAAATCAGAAAAAGATAAAAGGAATCATAATGCAACTGTGGTGTGATTCCTGGCCAGAGAAACATTTAGGGAGTCTCATCCATAGACAACATCGGGAAAGAAATAAAACGGTTCTCACATAGCCTTGATAAGAAGGGGCATTCAATACGGTTCACTTAATAGTCAGACGTACGTTAAAAGTTTTGCTTGAGGGTCGCTTAAATATCGGAAGGCGCTTTATCCTTTCGGAAGATCCTTCGGCGGTACAAAAGGGGGCTTGTGCGGGGTGGCAGGGTTGTATCTGACCAAGGATTACACCACGATCTCTAAGATTAACATGTGCTGTACATAGCGCAGTGCAGTGCAGGCGGCAGCTGTGGGCTACGGCTCAGCTATGAGAAACATTACCGGTGGATCCGCGATCGAGTGGACTGCAGACCCAGCGAATCTGCGCGCTGCAATTGTGCCGAGTACTCCGACCAAGTACTTCGGCACGTTCCACTGGGTGGTAATCGCGTATGTTTGTATATGTACATTTTTTTTATATATATATTTATGTCGATTGCAACTGTATATTGTATTTTTTTTTTTACGTGTGTGTATGCCCGATATATCCAGGTATGGCATGTGTATTTAAGACTACGAGTACCTTTTGCGGCGAGCGCGTCCGACAACGATCGATGGCGATCGAAGACCGTCATGCGAGCGCGCTCTTGCCCTGCCTATAGCTCTAGATATATTAAGGGAGTCCACATTTCAGTTCAATTTCAATTACACGGTGTGTTCTATTTGACAAAGGCAGTTCACCGAGGCCGTACCGACAAAATTTTAGTGCTGCCCGCTTAACATCAGCGAGAAACTTTACCGGGGCTGTAAAAGTTTAAATGCGAATCTGGGGGGTCGTGGTGGAAAATTCGCGAATTAATTGTGCGCGTGTTTTTGCGGGAGCGTCGTAAAATCCAAATGAAAATCGTGTACTCCCTTCATATCTCCCTCATTTCCGAGTCGGTTCCCGGAATATTTACAGCTTCCTCTCGAGATTCCTTAAGCGATACGTTCTGTTAAATTACGTTCTGTCGGTTACGAAAGCTTTTTGCGGAAGTTCACGGATACGTCTCTTACACGATATAGCTAACTTTACTCGTAGAAATTCTGGAAAAGTAACTGCCTATCGATTAACGGTGACTATACAGTAACAATTCTCCCTCTCCCTCTCTCGTTTCTCCCGAGTTAATGCTATTTTACGACGCGAAACGCGAACATCGATCCTGCGCGATGAAGAAGCGGGAAACGCGCACTACGTCGAAATTTACCGGGGACTCGTCTCCGCGCGAAAGTTTCCCGAAGACGCTTCTCCTACCGAGAGAAAGTGGCGAAAGCACTCCCGACTACTACCTGCCCGCGCGCGAAATATTCCAGTAAATAAATAATTGACTGATGCTCTTTGATGCTCTAGCGAAAGTCTCTGTTGCCTCGATCATGACTGAAAAGCGCAATCGAGTACGATCTACTTCGCAATTCGACGATTTTAGCTTTGGCCGTCGCACGTGGATTGGACGCGGAGTCCGGCGCGACGTGTCGTTCGTTGCTTTACAACTTGCACCTGCTGCCTCCGTTTCGAGAATACGCCGAGTTCGGTCGACATATGGCACAGGTCGATCGGGGGATAAGGAATAAAGCGGACCGTCCGATTTCATCCCTCGTTATGTTCCTGCCTAGAAGAGGAATCTCCTAAGAGCGTCTTTACGCGGCGAACGTAAAAAAAAAACTCAATTCCGTTTTATTGTCTCTCATCTATCGAGATCGTTTCGCGTTTAATCAAAGGGGCGAGCGCCTTCTTCTCGTCTTCCTTCCGATCGGTGATATGATAAAAGGCAGTGGATAACATTCTAAGGAATAAATTGTTCGCGCAAAAAAACAGTAAGCGATGCCGTAACACTGGCCCTACGAGTCTCATTAATTGCGCAAACGATTGAGTTACCTCACGTAGCAACGATATCTCCTATTCTATGGGCTTAAAAGGGAACGTTCGTTCTATCGCGTGACTCGACGAAAGGTGAGTGTTTAGAGTGCGTCTTCTTCGACGTACAAAGCGCAGAGTGAGCGCGTTTAACGCGAGTTGGAGTGACTTGGAGAGGGTCTCGCAATTGACGATCGAATTCCCGAGGCGCTCTGAGGGGATTCCGTCGTGGCGAGGAATGTCCGAACGCGGTTTCGTAGGTGCCAATTAGTGCTCCGGAGACGTCGTCTCGTCTCTCGATGGCGAACAACGACGACGTCATGCCGATTAGTGAGCGTTGTCCAGTGTCGCCTCTGGATGACAGTAGACTGAATACCTTGCTGGCAGAACGAGCGCTTCTAATTCGGCGGTGAGGTGTCGTCTAATCATGTGCTTCGCCGGCGGTATGCCCAAGGCGGTGGCCATGGTGTCGCCAGTGAACGACGGCTCCAATACGACCAGAGCACCGTGCACACCCGAGTCTGTGGAAAGGAGTTTTTCCCCGTTAAACGATATCGACGGTTTGCGTAGGCGTTATCGGGCTTGAAGGTGAAAGGTCCACTTTTTAATCTGCACATTCGGCGCATTCTTATTTTCCGAGATACGCTACGCTGCCAGTACTGCAATACAATTTGTCCGAAAGACATAAGAACACCTTGGTTGATGTTAATACCGATGGGAATTTAACTTTCGGACCTCACAACTTCGATAGTAATTGACGAAAATATACTTTATTATAGTGTTTCGGAAAGCTCACGAGGTAGGCTACAAGAATATGTAACGAAAAATGGGGTTTCGGGTTGAAAAATTCGAGGCGATCTTGACGTAAGCTCGACAAAGCAGTTCAACGTCACACTGCTATGTTACGCATCTTTTCAAACCGCAAAACTTTTATTCTTAACATTTTTCTCTATCTTGAATATTTAAAAAGTTATTCAAGGATCAAAACCTATTATTATAATATATACAGGGTGTTCCAGGAGGAAAGGTCAATATTCTGGGAGGTGATGGTATCGGTCATTTTAAGTAAAAATGTTGATACGAATATATGTCCCATTGCCCACTGTTTCCGAGATAACCGTAAGATCATATACAATATACGGCAGTAGATTATAATAAAATTAGAGCGCCGTACAATTTTCGATTGTAAAAACGCACAATTGATCTCGTCGAAGTGCAATTCACCTTTCAAGTTTTCGGCGTATTCCGTCAGATCGATATTCCTCGCCCACCGAATGAACCTTTGATTCGTCCAAACCAAAGGGTCCGTGTCAACCTGCTCACATTGATGTCTCCTGACCGCGAGGGCCTATCACAAAAGCATGATATCTCTTTGATGGTATTATTCGACTGCAATTACATCGTTTGATTAATCTGCATAAAGAACTGATTCATCTTCGCATGTTCCCGATGAACTCGTCGTCAGCAGAATCTTGTAATATCATTTCCGCGTCGATAGGGCAAACTCACTCACCTGGCGATCATAGTTTAGCATCCGCAGTAGGTGAATACCATGAACGATGCTGGCCTGATGAAACTTTCTCGTGACACCGAGCAGTTTCTCAAGCTCCTTCTTGCTCAGATGGTCCAACATACGCGCGTCTACCATATTGGTGGCGAAACTCTCCGAGTACTGTGCCAGGCCGAGATCCGGCAGCCATTCGGAGCTTACCCAGGTGTGACCGAGCTGAGCGATACAGGGATATCGTACGTGACTTGGATGCCGGTGTTCCTCGATGGCCAGACGCAGCTTCTTTCGATGAAGCGGATGAGTTACGCCTAAACCGGCCTCCAGCTCGGCGTCACTCAGCTCCAGTAGAACCTGAAAATAGTATCGCGATGATAAAAACTTGACCGAACGAGACAAGTGTTTCAATCGGAAACGGTTCCGTGAAATTGGTCCCAGGATGCAAAAACGAAAGAAAGACTTCGCACCAACGATACATCTTCGATATGATCGAAGATCAATCATAGCTTACGATAAAAACTGGGACGGTTAAAGGATGCCTGTGTCAACAGGCTTAAACTGGTTTCAAGTTTCGCTAAAACGAGAACAGGTGATAAATCCTTTACCTTGCCCGATTTGACATTCTCAGCACATCGTGGACCATACTGCGGCATCCCGAGAGCCACCTCTAGCCAGGCTAAAACGGTCGGGGCGCGCCATCGCTCCATGGGCACGGAGGCTGCCTCTCGGAGCAAACGAAGTTTCTCGGCGTAACCCTCCTCGGTGAGCGGCGACCACGATCGATATGGATCAAAGCCGTCCGAGCCCTCGTTGCCGCCGCTGCCACCGCTGGAACTGTTTGCCGTCTTCCGATGTCGCGAACGGGCGAATACTCTGCCAGAAGGGAGAACATTGATCCGCTCGCATTGATGTAATCATGTCCAACCGCGGGAAAAGCATGGTTTCATTTGTCATTTGTGCGTCTTGTGGATTGATGGACCCATACAGCACAGAAAGTTAAAATAACGTTGCTGAAACGTTGCAATGTTGAATGTATAAGGGCGAGTTTCACAAACGACGGTTAACTGCCAACCGAAGGTTAATTCATTCTCTGTCTCTTATTTAGACAATGAGATAGAAAAAGGGAGTTGACTGAACTCTGGTTAACAGTTGACCGACGTTTGTGAAACTGGCCCTAAATATCTTTTCTACGTTGAGCCTGGGTTAACGTTTGTACATTAATTCTTTGTATTGCTGCAACGTTAAAACAATCTTGAACAAATTATTGTTTTTTGACACTCAAATAGATACTTGAAAAATGTATATACATAATATTTTTGACGACAGTCAGAAATTTTCTGAGCCAAGATTGGATTATTGTTTCAGTGGAATAATTCAATTTCACCACTTCCAACAGTTGTAAAAAATATCTTGCTAAACCGCGACCAATGTTAACTCAATATAATTTAACAATGTTTTCTGAACGTTGAATTGTAACGTTCACAAGACACTACAGTTCAGCGGACACTAGACGTTTTTGCAATATCTTTTCAACGTTGCATCTACATTTCGTAACGTTGATGCAATATTGCAATGTCGTAATGGAACGTTTCTGAGATGTTGATTCCACATTTGTGTGCTGTATGGGGGTACAATTAAAAATAACAGGTACGTAACAAATTCGTTTTCTCCCCCTTTCAATTTTTATGCAATATTCCCGATTTTTCAATCACTATAACGTATCGAGATATCGATTGTGTTCTATTGAAAATACCAATCGTGCGAGGCGGGAAATTTGATTTCTACTTTGATTTAGAATACGTAGATAATGAATGTTTTACCCCATGAAAATTCTAGTTGATTCCATAAATATAAAACAGTTAGAATTGAGAAGTTCTACGGTTGCTAACGATGTCCGTGTATCGCGTTGCCAGTTCGACAGGATAATGGAGGATTACGAGATCTATGCAGTATTTTAGAGTTAAACAGTCGTTTGGCGTCATCCATCATTTAGGGCAAAGTCACATTGCTGATGTAAGTCTCATCGTGGTATCCAAGTGGACACGGTGGAAAGATCGATACGCCTCTCTTGTATCCGGGAAAAGGATCGTCTTACTTAGGAGGACTGTATTATTTTACATGACAGTTCTCCTTTACGAGTTCACTTCCACGCGGCGCGGAAAATCAGCCTCTCTGCTCGGCAACCATTGTCGCGAAGTTGCAATTTTCCGTCTGTCGTGTTATGAACTCATTGCGCCCGTTTGCACATTGTTAGGAGGCAAGACTCGCGCGGTAATCGCACACTTCGCCGAAGCAACGGCCAAGACTCGTCAGGGTCTGCAAAAATGTCGACGGTGCGCCGATGCACTTACGTGCGGGCGCGCGAGATTGTAAAATCAATGTGAACGAGCCGTGGCACTTTGTAAAACCGTTCACCGTTCGTGCGAGTGAATCGCCGCGCCTCGAACGGAGTGGTTCGCGTCATCTCGACTCGCCGGTGCTTTTTATTGCGCCGCAGCTATTATTTGTGACCGCGCGCTTTGTATTATACGCATCGCGCATAAATTATTCGCCGCGACAAAACAATTTAACTCATATTTACCGGTAAAATGTATCGCTCGTTGCCCGGGGATAATTGCCACTAAATATTTGCGCAACAAACTATATAATCGATATTTCACTCAATTAATGCGTAATTGGTATCACCGAAAGGAAGAGAGAGAGAGAGGGGGGAGGCAACGCGCGGGGGAGAGCAAAAATAATTACATAAGAAATAATTGTTTCCTCGGAACAACATTTGTGCGAGCCATTTGGCGTGGCGGGCAATTTGAGGGTTCTCGATAAAACGTTGAACGTTTCCGTAACGGGACGTGCTTCCTCACCTTGAAATGGATCCCCATGTGCCGCCGCGAGTGGCGGACGATCGCGAATGCGCGGCAGGTGCGACGACAGGTGGTGGCTGCTTGTTCCTCCTCGGCTCGGATTCCAGCGGGCTGGATAGCTGCTCGACCGATCGCGATAGCGAGGAATTGTCCATGGACCTTGAAAACGCGTTCAGCGGCGACAGCGTGGGGCTGCAGTCTTTCGGTGTGGTTGCGGCTGCAAATGGAAGACACACGCGTGTCGGTGTACCGTCGATTTCCGTAACGGAGCGCTCGGGCACTGTCGAGCACCCCGGGAGACGAGAACAGGAAGACCGATAGAAATAGCTCGATAGAAATATGATGTAATGAGCGGCGGCGTAGAGGACGTTAAATGGAGAACCGTCGATGAACAACGATTGCGTGTCGCGCAAATGTTACTTGGGCGTAGAAAATATTCTTGTCGCGTCAAAACGTCAAAACAGAGGGAAAACGTGAATGGCCAGGGTTGGGAAGTAACTCGTTACTTGTAACGAAGTTACAGTTACTGTTTTTTTTCTTTTTTTTTGGGTAACTCTAACTTAACTTCGTTACTGTCTCTTCATCTGCAACTGCAGCTTAACTCGGTTACATTTTTTCGATAACCAGCAACTAATTTAGCAGTTACTTTATATATTTTTTAAACCTCCACAGATCGCATTGAGCCTTGCATAAACGCCTTTATCGACGCTTTACAATTCAAATGCGAATGTGACATTTTTATTCTCATTGCAAGAAAGTAACTGCAAAATGACGATTCGTTACTTTTTGAGTAACTGCAACTGTAACGCGTCACTTTTCAGAATTGGTAGCTCGTAGCTATAACCCCTGGCCCACAATCTTGCTTTAAGTAAGCTGTAAGCTTCAAGCCGCAAGAAATTAACCAATCACAGGTGAGAGTGAGGGGAATAAAGGCCTGTGACTGGTTAATTTCTTACGGCTTACAGCTCACTTAAAGCAAGGTTGTAGACCAACACTAATTAGATTTTTAGCAAGAAAACTGCAACTGTAACTGGATACTCTTATAAAGTAACTTTCCCAACCCTGTGAATGAGACAATTTGTTAGTAATTCGACACAGCGGGATGTGTGCGAGTAGAATGAAATCTGCTCGTCGACAAGCTGTTAATTATTCATTCGCACTTTGATTGTTTCTTCGGAACGTCGCTATTTTTTTTCCACGCCGCGCATGAAAATAGCGTTTCACGTGGCTTTCTCGCCAAGCGTTTATCCTGCCCCGTGACACAGCGAATGGTAATCGATGCAAGTCACATAAAGAACACAGAGCGCGTCGTGCAGCGATCCTGCGGCGCGTGCAAAAAGTCCTTTTCGTGGGCATAGCTCGTTCTTGTCATCTCTGCCAGGTATGTGCATGCGCATGCATTCAGGCCATATAGCAGGCAGGACTTGTATCGAGGACGTCCTTGGGGACCCTCGGCGTCGCGTCGGTTAGGCTTTCGCGCAAAGAGAAAAACGATGATTTATTCGGTGAGCGATCTCTTTCGGGACCACCGTTCACCATATTAAGATACACATTCACACATACGACACACACGCGCGCGCGCGATACCAAGAGATAAATGACTACAGGGTGACCGGAATACGATAGCGACTGTGCCGTTCTATTTCCCGTCATCTAGAAAGCTCTCGAGATCTGCACGGGAGAAGCATCGACGTGCTACTTTATGAATATCTCAATGCGACTGGCAACGACGTCGTGAAGCTGTTACGATCGTTAATCCTGCGTACGCTCGTCGCATTCGCGATCGGCCACCGGTCATCCGGCCACCCTTCGCTGACGAAAGAAACCGGGTCGGAGGAAGAGAGAAAGACGCGACGCGCCGAGAAGCAGCGGAGGCGCGTTCTCGGGTTACGACGGAACGGGGAGGTGGGATAGAGGCGCCGAGTGACAAGGGATGTGACGACGATCAGTGATTTATGCTCTTGGACACTTACATTGGTATATGTGGGGTGGTGCTACGGAGGATACCACGGAGATGCTGTCCATGTCGAGACCGCTGCCCTCGACCGTAATTGTTGGCGTGCCTGCGCGGAAATATATATAAAGGACATCAATTTTACAGTAAAGGGAGGAAGTGCGGGGTAGGTATCGGTGGGCCTCGCGCCGTCACGGTGCGCCGGGGCTGTCAAGAACGAGCTTCCCTCGAGGTCGCCGCCGAGCTTGTGTTCTTTATGTCGCGGCGCCCTTACGACGACGACGGAGATAATGCCCGTCGTTCGCCCGCCGAAAGTGGGCCGAGGAAAGACGTCGCGCGACGTTGGAAAGCGCAAAGTAACTTGACGCTTGACTTTTTGCAACGGGATAATGGACGCGGCCATTAGCGAAAATTTCTATCTGGCTAATAGGAAAAGTTTAAATTGATAACTTTACACTCGGGATAATGTTTAATTGGCTAATTATCTTTTAATGCCCCATTATTAGCTGCGTGACAAATTCGAAGTGGGCTTATCGTCGGTCGCGTAAAGATTGTTGCGAGCTTTCTTAATTAGTTCTTCATTAGCTGCACCGTGCCCGATTTAATTGACAATAATCATATATCAATTAAGAATAATAATAAGCGTGTGATATGTTGCGTGCAACGACACCGCAAAAATCCTCGCGTTATTCCAAAGCAGTTTCTCTCGTAAGGCAACGTTAAGAGACAGATCGTGAGACGGTAATGTCCTGGGTAAATGTTTAACCTGATAATGCGACTTGGCAAGTGTTGAGATAATCCTGAGACTTGAGAGTGCTCTCGCGCAACCCAAAGCGCATCTTTCGCGCTGAAAATCATGCAGGCGCGCCAAAACCCTCTCCGGTGGCCGCGAATGTTTGCCGGAAACCCAATCGATCAAACCGTTTTGATGCAACGGCACGGCGATTGGCTGAATAATACATGAAGGAAGCGTGTACTCGATTAGACTGCCGCCACCTACGTTCGATTAACATTCGCGACCGACGGATGCCGTTGGACTATTTTTCAAGCTGGTACTTAGCCGGATGTGCACTGGCAATCCCTTTTGACTAGACGATTAATCTTGAGGCTCGTTGCAACTAAACGCCGGAGTCATTATCTCCTAAACGGATGTCACTCCGATTGTGATTAATAGTAACTTTAGATAAACCGACGATCCTCAAAAATGTTCTTTCGTTGTCATACTTTTAACGGCCAATTCCGCTATAGAATCAGTGTTGCTGCGCCGCTATTTATCACGTTTTATAATGGCACACAAGTGTTACATTCATTAATTAGAATTGAGAAGATTGCGTATATAAATTCAGTCTAAACAAAACCCGCATACTTGAGAATCAAAGCAGAATCGGTTAAGATTATGAAAATTAACATCGACTGGTATACGTTAGCAGAATTTTCGTCTTAATTCAACAATCAAATCCAGGCTACACGTTGCGCAATTTGAGGCACTTAAAAGGCTCCGTGGAAACGTGTGAAGAAACACTCGTGATAAGATTAGCCAAGGCGACTTGATATCGCTGTAAAAGACAAGGGATTTTGTACGAGACAAAATCCTCTTTGTGAAATATATATTTTCTTTTTACTTTCTCTCGTTTTCTGTACCTTCCTGTAAAACCTTTTTCTTCTCTTTCTTTCCCCCTGCTCGTCGTTCGAGTATATTTACTTCTACAACAATTATATACTCTGGGAAGAAAAGACAGTTAAGCAACCCATTTTGGGGCCCACAATTAGTAATCGAATTATTTAGATTGTTGGTAAAAATTGTAATAAAAAGTGTTGAGTGCTGGGGGTATTTTGAAAAAGAAAAACTTAAAAACTTTTTGCTCATAGTTTTAAAGTGCTATTGAAACTATTCTACTTTCATTTAAAAGAATTTTTCTAGCTCTTACACTTTCGTCAATATTCGTCCCCGAAAGGGAAAATCAAATTTTCTTCAAAGGGGTATTTCACCAGCTAAAAGTGCGTATGGGCACGTACAAAAAAATACGTGTCCCTTATTTTGAGCCGAAAAACAACATATTCAACGCTCGTAAAAATCGGCGTGTCCCCACTTGGGTAGGTTTACTTGTCAGTGTAGTTTTCCGCGGATGTAACGCGCGACACAACTAGAAGAGAAACAAAAGGTCTGGATCTAATTGCTATCGAGTGACGATTCTCACCGTCTGTCGTGGAGTCCGAGAGATTCCCGCCGACGCTGGTCGCCCCGCCGCTCTCGCGATCGCTGGACCCGCGGACGCCGCTGTCCGCGCTGCAGCTGCCGCGATCGCCGGCCTGGCCGCCGGAGGATCCTCCTGCACCCGGGCCGCCACCCACGTTACCCACGGACATGCCGAGCTCGGTGGCGCCCAAGGGCGGCTGGGAATTTACGTGGGGGATGATGCCGCAGCCACCACCGCCGCCACCGCCGCCGCCGCCGCCGCCGCTGCTGCTGCCGGCTCCGGGAGTCGCGGCACCGTTCACGCTGCCCCGAGGAAATGACACCAGGGACTCCTGATCGCTCAGGCAGATCCCGCCGCCACCGCCGCGTTCTCCCAGTTGACGTTGCAGCTGCAACAATCGAGAGGTCATCTTGAAACGCGGCTCGCTACAATGATCTACGTCAACGAGAAATCCGGAAATATCGCCGGGCAAGGAAAACTGCCGCAGAATTCATATCTTGTCCAGGTATTCAAGTACCAAATCGTTATCTCAATTTTTACACATCTCTCGAGGGTCGTGAGAAATTTGTTTCTCTTCGTAAAGCCGAAGGCACGCGATACTATTTTTCCTACTGGACTGCTTACGGGAGCTAATAAGGATTCAGAGTTTTAGGCCAGATGACCCGAGGTTGAATCCTGATCGGCTCTCGTGAGCTATCCAGCAGGGAAAATAGTATATCGTGTACCGTTGGCTTTAGACTCTTCTTTAATCTTTAAGTTGTGTGATCGTAAGTGTGTGCGAGATCGATTCTACCGAGTTTCTTGCAATCCCCCGAGACGGAGCCCTCTATCGATTTGCAATTCGTTAATTTAGATGCAGAACAATGCGCGTTCGACAGGCGGGACTCACCTCCTTTATGGTCGCGTGTGCGTGCGAGAGGGCGGCCTCTTTGTCGGCCAAATTAGCCGCGAGGCTCAGACTTCGATCGGCCTCATCCCTCGCCGCCCTCAGAAGACTCCAGCGTTCCCTCTCCCTCTCCCGCTCGCGTTCCTCCGAAGGCATGCCGACTCCTTGCTGCTGAAGACGTCCCAGGGTCGCCTCGTTCTCCCGCATCCGCTGTAATCAACGGTCAAAAGGACCATGTCCGGGCAGTAACTCCGCCCCCAAAAACCTTCACCATTTACAGTAGTTGCGTGCACGCGATCGAAAATTGCGAGGAGCACGGCGGCCAAGCGGCAAAACTATTTTACCTCTTCTTTTCCAGACTTCGATTTATGTTTCGCGAGAGGTGGAGGAGAATTACGATGAATTAGCCCAAGTAAATAAGTTGCAACGTGAGTCGAGATAAAGTGCGACGTACAAATTATTTAATCATTTCATTAGTTTACTACGACTATTGCGTTTGAAAAAGCGCAATGTGCGGGAGACAACAACGGATAGCGGTTACCATAGACATAGCAATACTATGTCTATGTACTAGACCGAGCATGTTCTCTTTTAAGCAATAAAGGTTGGGTAGAAAAGGATAGAAAATAGGTGCCGCGACCTTTCTCTTTTTATTCTTCCTCGTTAGAGAGAGAAAGGTGGACGGCACCTACTTTCTATCCTTTTCTACCTGGGCCTCAGGCCCAGTGAGAAATGACTCGTTGATCGACGTCGAAACGACGTCGAATCGACATCGACACCGTTGAATTGACGTCGATTCGACATCATTTCGAAGTCGATCGACGAATCATTTCTCACTGGGGGTCTGGCGTCTCATGCTCGGTCTAATGTTACCACGTCCATGGCGGTTACAACGGCGAAACGCGATTTTGGCACGCACTTCTCGTGAGCGTGTCTTCTTTTTCGCGGTACAAGTGAGTCGGAAAGAATGAATTCCCGTTGTCGAGAAATAACGCTTCAATATTATGGCAACATCAGTCAACCCTGCAAAATCAACATCGCAAAATCCGTTTGCGGAATACGGAATGAGTTAATAATTAATTGGAAGCCCGCCGGATTCCGCGGAGGCACGAAGTAATAATCGATATTCGACGAAACAACTTTAGCCGCATCGGTGAGCGATGATTTCGTCGAAACAGTCGACGAACTAATAATGGCGGCGCGAGCAAATAGCCGCTGGGAATCAAACAGAATTTTAGGACAAATATCCGGTTGATATTCACGAAAATGTCAATTGATGCACGCGAAACAGTTTAGCGCAGCGCGAGTTAACTCGAGAACGTCGCGTCGCCCGGATTGGAAAACGGACGAGAGAAGACACTCGAGATGCGATCCGGATCGTTAAAATGCGTGACACGGACTTTCACGATTGACAGTCCCCAGCGATAATTTCACGTCGCGTTACAAGCATAATTAGCATTCGGTGAACGCAACATATCGTACAATTAAATGAAATAATTCGGAATGTGGAATCGACGTAAAATAATTAGCAATTTTTAATAATAAAATCAATACTTGTTATAAAATTCATTCCGAACGACAGAGTTACATTAATTTCCTATTGTTGCCGGGGGAAAAAATTAATAGCGTCGCGCCAACTTTGAAACTCCATTTTTCTGCGTAAGATTTTCGAATATGACGCATTTCAAACAATTAAAGTTTGATAAATAGCGCTCGAGCTTAATCCCGACAAGACATTTTTGCGACTGAGCGAAGGGATAACTCGATCTCTCGCACACGAAGGGTGCAATTATATTTTAGCGCGCGAACAGGCATGACGCTTACCGTCGACTATTAGCCGTCGACGATATCGGCTACAGCAAAGTTAATCCACTTATCTCTATCTCGAGCGTAAGTAACTCTGTCGTACGTATAACAGGTGTTGCAGCAAGGTTTACGGGCTAAACTTTGCGGCAATACGGTTATTACAGACGTTGCGGATC